TATATATATATATATATATATATATATATCAAAATATGTATATGTATATGTATATGTATGTATGTATGTATGAATCTCATTTTATTTATGTTTTTCTTACTTATTTTGATTATTGCTTATATAAACCTTTTTTCTTTTAAGAATGCAAAATAAGTTTATATCCTTTCATCACGTTTTGTGTTGTGGAAATGCGACAAGATCTTTATTCTAAATTCACAATAATAGTGCATTAAATGCTTTCACATATGATGAAAATGGGGGCTTAAGCATCAATGATAAGGGGATCGGACAATAAATAAAATGAGATAAACAAAATAAAGAAATAACTGAAGAGAAATTAAAATAGAAATGAATAACTATCCAACTTACAATAGAAATACAATAGTTAATGTAACTAAATATACTAAAAAAGGTAATTTAAAGCTGAAATATATGCTCTTGTGGTGACAAACCTCCAAGTAAGTGGTTGAAATCTGCTATAAAAGAGTTTTAATGAGTGAGTTTGATAAATCAAACTCAATAAATAATAATTATTTATTAATACATAAACTAGAAGAAACTGGGTCATGCATGATGGCAAATGAAACGTGATGATATTCAACATAGACTAATAAAAATTGCAAAAAATGTACCAAATTCTTGTGATCATGAATATGAATGACTTGAACAAATGCATTTTATCACACTTGGTCTGTAAGGCGGAATATCCCTACAACATAAGTTGTGATGATATGAATTGAACTTGTTTTATATTTCCAAAAGAAAAGATGGTAAGTAATAACAAAAATAAACAATAAGTGATTATTTTTAATACATTCTTAACAATTTTTTGCATCTGACATAATCTCAATGCATAGTCCGGATCTTGATGCACTCTTTTGAGTAAGAAATATTGAACATTTAATTAAAAGCCATCCAGAACTCCAATTTCAACAAACATATATTCAAACTGATCAGTTTGACGAGGTGGACACAACAACACCAAAATTAGTACCATACGAGTTAAATCAAGCACAGATCCAGCCGTAAACCACCTTTAAGAAAAATTTTGTACATAATTGGAAGGTCAAATAGATTTTGAATATGGCATATTTATAGTTAAACCATGCATTTTGGCAAGAAGAATCCAACGAGCTCATAATCGCTCAATTCTGACATCATTAAAGCACTCAAATGTGCATCGAACAACATTCAATCTAGGGGGTCTCTCTATATCGTCCGATGAAGTAATTTGAATTCTTTCCTTATTTGTAGAGAGGCTTCTCAAATACTCTATAAATAAAGCTCTATTCCCACTTGAGAGGGTCTTAAGATCTTGAGCTAGATGAAGGTCGGAGATGGAAGGAGTTGAAGTTTAGGACCATGCACAGACAATCCGACAAACACCTTATGTTCCTATAGATGCCAACCAAAGTCAACCACAATTAGTTGACCGTTGTCGACCATAGTCGGCCTCCTACTCTAGTAGCCACCCATCATCATCGACTAGTGCTTGTCGCAATCGCCTGCTCCTTACGATGAAGCACGCCTCAAAGCAACAACTGACACCACATAATCGTGAAGCAGGGAATTATCCCAAACATCATGATGACCTTGAAGACGATGAAACATTGCACTCCACATTAGTGCAATAATGCCTTCAAACAATGATATAATGAAGCACCCCGGTAAAAGTGCAACATTGCCTCATGAAGATGGTGCAACAAAACATCTCAAATATAGTGCAATATCACACCCTGATGATGTTGTAACAATGTATCACACATACGATGCAATTGTTACCTCATTTCTTGTCACATAGGACTTGTATGATCATCATCTCTTGGACCGGTGCACCACATTGACTAAAACCTTCACATGGCCATTTTTGGCTTGGGCGTGATCACGTCAAGCCTGGGCATAACTGATACCCTATTTCCAGGTGCGTACGCCCTCTGAAGTCTCATGCAAATGTACGTGTCATATCAGTAATATTAGATTTTGAGTCCAAAATATCAATCTCACAGGGAACGGAGAATTAGACTTAAGAGAAGTTCTAGCATACTAGATTTAGTTCTTAGCTTGGAACTGAAATTAAGTAAAGGTTCTATAAATTACTCCTACTGAATTGTAATCTAGTTTTAAAGGTTAAATCCTACGGAAATCTTACTTATCCTAATTAAATTGGTGATTATCAAATTATATATTTACCTTCACTTGCAATGACATAAGTGGAGTGTAAAAAATATAAAGTGTCAATTATGAATGTAGCTAATGACAAATAGGAGTAACTCTCTTCTTTACCCTCTCTCGTGTGCATAAAGAAGCTTAGTTAAATTGACTTTAATTCCTTAAATCCCAACTTGAACCCATCAAAGACTTTTTCCCTACTATTTACATCTCCATGTAAAGTACTTGCACCATACTCTATAGATCAATGTGAGTAACCTAGTTGTTATACCATAGCTATCTCGAGTCATTATGGGTCACAACACATTTTAACGATTCACTTTACTAGAATGAAAAGTAAATGAAATTCAGAAGGTTACTCATGACATTAAATTTAAAAAACCAGTTTTAGAAATACTTTGCACTTCTTAACCATCACAAGGAAAAGTGAAAGAGAAATACTTAAAAAATATGATACACTCGCCAGAAAGCATCATTGGAAATAAGAAAATCCCTTAAATAAATGTGTTTACAGAAATACAATAATAAAAGTACACAATACATCTCTCTCTCTCTCTCTCTCTCTCTCTCTCTCTTTTACAAAGCTCTGAGAATGCTCACCCAAAGCTCTCTTGATCTTTTTCTACTCTCATTAATACTCGTCTCACAATTCCACTCAAATCCTCTCCAAACGAATAAGTAAAAGCTATCTCTACTCTTTCTTAGGACAAACCTTCAACCTCCCTTTCATTCTTCTACTCTTCTTCTCTTTTTTCTCTTTAAAACATAGCATAATTCAGCCCTTAAGCCATCTAATAACTCCTCAAATCATCTGTTTGAACTGCTTAAAACTTTCCCAGACAGTTGTTGGTGCCTAGGCACCAGTCTTTCTATCTGTCCAAATCAGTAGTGGCACCTTCACGCTCATGGGTTTGGCGCTTAGGCGCTAGTAGGGTGGCACCTTGGCGCTCAATTTTTTGTGCCTAGGCGTCATGCTTTGGGGTTGACAGGGCTAGGACTGGTGCCATGGAGCCTAAGGGGCTTCCATCTAGGAGTCAGTCTCCTGTAGTTTCCTTAGCTCCAAGTCTCCACCGCTTTACTCAATATTTCCTCCACTTTGCTCCACTTCTAATACTCGTTGTACCTACAACAAAAACATAAAAATATCTTTCTTTAAAGTGCAATTTCAACAAAAAAAAATGTAAAAAACAGTAGGGAATAAAAAAATTCCTTTCGACACATCAAAATCCCTATACTTAAAGGTCACTTATCCTCAAATAACATCAAAATTTAAATATCATATTTATTAATTTGAGGGAGTGGAGTTCATAAAAACTATCGACAATTATGCATAATTAATAGTGTAAAAGTAGGATTACTCTAGTAAACAAGTCTAGCCCTAGGGTATAAGAATCCTTGCAACCAACCAAGAAAATCAGATTTCTTATGTACTTCAAAAAGAAAAGAAAACTTGTTGAACTTAATATCCTTTATGCTAGAAAATCTTAATTTAAACACTCCTTTTAAAAAGTTTTACTCATGCATCCTAGATATTTGTAAGCTTGGGAGTGTAGCGAAGTTTTAAATTTAATAAGAATTTAGTGAAATCAATTTTTTATAAGGCTTCTCCTCAAGTTTCTTCTCACTTTATATTTTTTTTTTATTATCTTTTATTGTTTTAGGATGTAGATTTCAATCCTCAGCATCACTTTATGATGATTACTATATCTGGATAGGCCTTTTAATATTTTTGAATTTCACCATCATCTCTCTAAAGTAAAACACTCCACCCTCCTTCACTTGTCAATTTCTTTTAAAAAATTTAAAAAGTATAGGTTGAAAATATAATTTTATGGAGGCTAAATTCTTATAAACTATATATCTGAATGTACTTAATTAAACAAGTACATCACTCTTTTCAAAAATGAATAGTTAGTTCATTTTTTGACATGTAGAATTTTAAATTAACTTAACACTAGTCTAGTCTCATTTTGATAGATTTTAAAATAAGTAAACTATGTCTTTCCCTTCTCAATATTGTGAACATTTCAATTTTAATCCCTATACCTCAAATCTACTAAATCATGGCAATTCAAATTCAGGTTACCAAGGACAAATAAATTTAACCTTTTAAAAGATTTTCCTTGCCCTCATAGCAAATAAATAAATAAATATTAATGGAGAGAAAACAAGTATAGAAATCATTTCAACCACATGTCTATCATTAAGATTTACAGTTATAAATATAAAATAACATGTATGCAATATCAAGTAAATCCAAACTAAACATTAATACATGTGAAACTACACCAGAAAGTCTAAATAGTATAACCGAAAAATAAAAAAAAGTTCCACAGTAATACCAACAAATCAAAATGAAAATTTATATCAGTAGCAGCTGCAAGAAAATAAAGTTTAGTACATCCACATAAAAAAAAACTACTACTCATCGTCATCATCATCCTCCACATCATCAACCTCACCCTCATCTTCTTCATCTTCCTCCTTCCC